TGTAGCAAAGGTTAAAAAAAAGACAAACATTTAAAATGTTTTGCAGCGAACTAACAATATAAGATATTTTCCTAATCATATTCATCACTTTCTTCAGTCGCTGGGAAATACTTTTTTGTCGTTGTGAAAAATGGTGTCTTCTGTGAAGTCTCAGGGCTTCCATCTGAATTCGCGTCTCAAAACAGATATGGTTGCTTAGCTCTGAATAAATAACGCCCAAGCTAAGGTAGAAAACAAAGCTGATACGAATCGACATATTGCAGGCCAGACTGACATACGTAAAGCTGGCCCAGACCACCAGATGATGAATAATAATGTTTAAGTTAGGAACCCAAGTCATCAAACCAATGGTAAATACGGTTTCTATGGCCTGACATCCTAAGAAAATGAGAATCAGCAGCAGCGCCCGTGTTCCTGTGAATCCTTTTCGCTTTCTGATAGACAGGGATCTCACTCGTCCAAATAAGCAAATATAGCGATTAACTAGTGTAATCAAGTCTTTGCCACGAATCATCTGAAGATAAATCATTGTTAGATAACAAGGAGTCGTTAGTACAACCCGACTGTAGTGTAGTATGTTGAGTATTCTATCCATTTTCAGTAACCAACTAATGTCCAGATAAAGATTGACACATAGGGGCGCAAGTCTGAGGATCAACGTGAACCACTTCCAGCGGGTACTAGTGACACAGGTCTCCTCCATGATGATGGTATTGTGCTTCGCTTCCTTAAAGCGAAATGGTATCAAGCCTAACCATTTAGCGAAGGTACAATAAGGGAGCAATGCTTTGAATACACTCATCCGAAAAATTCGACTTGACTTGTTTGCTGCTAAAGTAAAACTTCAATTGGAAGACAAAAATTGGAGTAGTCAAGTTCCTGTCCAATGCATTAGGAAAATGAAAACTTAACTTTTAAAAAGATCTGTTGTCCCTTTGGGTTTCATAACTCGATTGGCAAAACATTATTTATCACCTGCCAAAAAGATATGTATCCTTGCTTTAAATGAAAAAATTGTTCAATTGAACTTTGTCAATTTAATTGGCGTAAGACTTGGTGATTCAATATACCTAAACGCTTCATGCAGAATAAAACACAATGTGCGTGGGAGAAAAAACAATGACGTTATCATTTTTATAAATTATATATATATTTTATATATGTACATATTTTTCAATCTTTCCTATGAAGCTATATGGTAGAGTTATCCGATTTTGATGAAATTTAATTCGAAATTCGATAGTAGTTAAAAAACCATCTGAAAAAAATCAAGTCGATATGATCAAAAACAAATGACTGATAATTTTTTTTTTAATCTCTCCATATAGTCGCCCGATCCGGCGCGTTCGACTTATATACTGCGTGCAATAACTACACAACTCTTGGGAAAGTTTCAGCAAGATAGTATTAAAACTAAGAGACTAGTTTACATAGAAACAGATAGGAGGACAGACGTACAGACGTATTTCTGTTCAGATCGTGATGCTGATCGAGAATATATATACTTTAAGAGGTCTGAGGTGTCTCCTTCACTACGTTGCAAACTTTTGACTCAAATTATTATAATAATAATAATTATAATAATACTTTTTAATTCAATAAACAACATTAAATTAAGTTAATAAGTAACTGACAATTACTAGTGGTTAGGATTTTCCCCTATTCCCCATCAACACTGAATGCTATCACTTAATTCATTTCCCTAAGTGCTTGTTCATCAAAAAATTCGATCCCCTGCCAAAGACATCATTAATGCCAAACAATCTGATACACATTATGCAACACCGCACCTTCCCCCCAAAATAAAAACCAAACAATTCAAATTTTTAGCGGGCATTATCTGCGTCTAGAGGAAATCCACCCAATTGGGGCCGCAATTTTTCAATTTCCCATGAAACGCATATCTGGAATACAATTCGATTAGAAATGCTTTGCTTTTCGAAATAATAAATTAAATTTTTTCCACCGCACCCCACGCGAATTTCCAATGCCATTAACACCATCTAGCCCCTGTTTTCTATACATATATTTTGTTTATTCTCTTCTTTTTTTTTCCGTGGGCCTCGCGGGGTGCAAAAGGTTGCGAAATTGCGACTTGTTGGGGAATTCCTGCGGCAGCGGTCTGGAAAAAAGACGAAAAAAAAGCGGCGAATGGAGGGGAGAGGAGGGGGTTGAATCAATTTCCTGCAAAATAGAATCCTTAGAGCCTGCGAGGGCTTTTCTTAAAATAACAAAATTACTTTCCGCATGCAGGCCAAGTCAAGCCCAACCGATCCGATCCGAGCGGAATGCCATTGACAACCATTAATCATGGACGCCTGTCAGGGCGGGTCGCCATCTCGGGGGGTGGCAAAAAGTGGGTGGGAAGCGAATGGGTGGTGTGGGTGTGGTGTTTCTGTTTGAGTGTGGGTGTGCTGCCTGCCGATTGTCCTGCACTGCAATGTTGATACTTCATTTTTTTCCTTCCTTTAGCTGCTGCCTTTAAACTCTGCCTCCTGCGGAACATGCTAATGCCTGCCAGTGGGGCTCAAGTCATGCTCTCGGCTTCCAGCCACGCCCAGCTGCGAAATTGACAAGCCAGCCGAGTGCGTTGTGTGACATGACACTTGCCAAAGGACCAAGGACCAAGGACCAGGCAACGGGCAACGGGCACCAGGCATTGGGTACCAGGAATAGGAATAGGAACAGGACCAAGGACCAAGGACTCGGCAGCAGGAGTGGGCGTGTGCCTGGCCAAGTCGGAGGCGTTCAGGGGAAGCCAGGTTATGTATGCCATCATTAGACGTGGTCCGTTTGCCACGCCCGTGCTGTTGCAAATTGGCAGCTCGGCAATGGACGGCCATCATGTCATGTGACAGGATCTGGCGCAAGGAGGCGCCGGGGTAATCGGAAAGTGAACACCGTGCCAAATTAACATGAAATTTAAATGTTACAAAAATATGGGAGGCGGCGTTTAGTATGTAGAAATGTGTTAAATATATTAAAAAAGGAAGACGTTTATGAGCTTAAAAAAGTGAATAATTACAAAAGTAGGTAAAAAATGTATATTAGGGTTCTTGTCTATTAACAAGTATATAAAATATTGGTTAGCTATTGCAATATAAACTTAAATAAATAAACATATCTTTTTAAAGAAAACTTTCTTTTGAAAAACGTTTAAGGAAATCATTTAGTATTGAGTTTTCAGAGTTAAAGGAGTTTAAAAATCAGGGAATATTAATGTTAAATCTAATGTGGAATATTTTCTCTCTCTGCTTGTTGGCCAGCTTCCCATGTTGATGGCAAGTCAAAGTTCAATGCGAAAAGCCGAAATTCCAATTGCCAAGATGCAGAACGCAGGCTGCAGAATGCAGGATGAAGGATGCAGGATGAAGGATGCAGGATGCAGGAGGCGGAGTAGGCTGGGACATTGTCTAATTGCTCACTTTATGGGCATTGAATGGTGGGGGTTATTGAATGGGGTTTTCCAGGGGGTATGCCGTGTCATAAAGTGCAAATGCCACGCCCCGAAAATCCAACAACGAAAATTGCGAAATGCGCGCTGAAACTCTGATTTGTGTGTGCAGCCGATAGTTGACATGCATTTTCAATTTAAAGGCCAGCACCTCGGCCACGCCCCCTACCTTCGGCAGGACATCTCCAGGCCAATAATGAATTCCATTCGTTTTGTCTGCACACCACTCATTCCTCCCCTTTACCCCTTCCTCCACCTTTTTCCCTCCTTCCCTGCTCATTTATGCAATTGCAAATGCATTTTGTCCCGGTCACAAGTTGCGAGTCCTTGGAAAGGAAACGTGACAGAACAGCGGGCAGGGAGTGCGATTCCGATTCCGATCCCGATTCCGATTCCGAGTCCTCCTTCCCGGCAACGATAAAACTTTATGCACTGCAAAACGGGAGCAAAGGAGCGAAGGAGCAAAGGAGCAAGGAGCGAAAGACCCAGCATTGACATTTCAAGTGGACCCCATCCTCGGAAGCGCCATCAGAATAGTTTTAATAATGCACAAGACGACGGCCAACGAGTGAGTCCGGTCTGCAGCATAAAATCCAGGACATACGAGCAGGACTTTCAACCAGAAAGTGGAGAAGGATTCTGGGGTAGGGGGAGCACAAAGATGGCGGAGGGGGAGAGGGGGTGGCAGATAAGACCCGGCACAACTAACTGAAAGAAATAGAAAAACGAGAAAGGAACAAACATGAAAATTCAATGCAACTTTGTCTATTCGATGTCAAAATGAATACTTTTGCATTATTTATGCCGGCGCATTTGTTTGTCCAACTACAACCGATAACGAAGGACGAGGAATGGTGTCCTTTGGAATGAATAGGATGGGAAAGGAAGAGGCAGCCGTTGAGTGAGCATACAAATTGTTCCCCTTTTGGAAGCTTAAAGCTTACCAATATACCAAAAGGAAGTAATAGAGAGCAACAGAAATTATACTACTTAAAAATAAATTTAATGTAGTAGTTCTGTGGTAGTTCGTTCTGTTCCTAAATTTGTATTTAAAATCGGTGATATACTGTATATAGTTAATAACCTGTAACATAGATGGCGTCTCTGGTGATCTTCGTGAAAAATATTGCATACTTTAGGGCATTATAAAGATCAAACGAAAGTCGGGTAAAAATGTTAAAGCGAATTAAAGTCCTCAATTTTCGAGCATATCCATTACATAAACATTTCCTTAAATTGCACCGATTTCCACACCCCCACACAAACAACTACAAGTATTTTTTTATGCCGTCTTCCAGTCAAGTCTCCTCTTCAGATGCCGGCAAATGCCAAATATATTTTGGGACGACCATAAAGATATGTTGCCTCAAGTGGATGTTGCTGTACTGAGCTCAAGAGGACACTCCAGCGACCAGGACATGTGTATGCGACCAAGACCACTCGAAAGTCTTCCGCCAGACACTAAAGAACTGTTCACTCAAAAAAAAAAGTTAAGAGTTTTTAATAAAAAAAAACACAACATTTCTCCTAATATAAACATTCTGGAAATTTTTTACGTATCTTTATTACAACATGTGAGACAATACAAATTTATTTAAATATCATTTTTCCTGAGTGCATCTATAAACATACATTAACTTCACCCGCTGCGCTCCACAAACTTGAACTTAAAGGGAATTTTTGGTTGCACAAAGAACTTGGCCTTAAAGGCATTTTCGATGGGATAATCGAAACCGATCTGGAAGTTCCTCACCAATCTAGCAATTGCTATCTCTAGCATCATATCCACAATCCTCTTGCCAGCACAGGATCTTGGTCCAAAACCAAAGGGCAAATACATGAAGGGAGTAGCTGTATCTCCCACCAAATGGGAATTTGAATTGGATTCATCGCGCAACCAACGTTCAGGAATAAACTCCCGAACCTTCGGAACAAATTCCTCCATGTTTGCCATCTGGTAATTGGCAGCATTGCCCACATCCGTGCCAGCCACAACTCGATATCCACTGAGCACCACATCGTGTGGCATTCTACGAAGAGTTCCAGGTCCTATTGGATACAAGCGAATTCCCTCCTTAATGCAGGCTCTTAAGTATGGCATACTGCTCATGTTTTCCATGGTCAACGGCGAGTCCTTGTGTGGTAATATTCCCCTGATTTCCCCCAGAAGTTTAGCTTGTTTGTCTGGATTTTTGGATAGACTCAGTAGAATGCCACCAAGACTTACAAGAGTCTGTAAAAAAGTTGAAATGGAAAAGTTTTAATGGAAACACCTCTTATTAATTAATAATAAAAACTTACCGGATCCGCTCCTGCGAACAATAAATCCATGGCTATAATCACAGCTGTTTGTCGATCAAATCGGGCCAATTTCTCCAGCAGACTGGTTTCCAAACCAATCTCTGTAAGTTTTCCAGCTTTGGCATCCTCTTCGATCCGCTTCAGAGCGTTTTCAATGTGGAAATAACAGAAATCCGTGATGGTATCCAAAGAACGCATTAGTTTCCTAAAATTTGGCATTGGCAAATACTTCCAAAACGGCGGCATCATATCCAATTGGAAACCCAATTCCACCACATCCTGCAAAGCCAGAACCACCTTTTGAATTTCCTTATTTTCTCGCTGCTCTCCTAATAAACCAATATGTGTATTCAGGGCAACCGAGCAAATCGATTCGATCACCAAATGACGAATGTCCACGACAAAGTCATCTGGCATTTCTTGGGTAACAGGATCTCGAATCAATCGGATACTGAAAATAAATCAAGGATAAACTTAAATTTGGAATTATTTTATTTGCTTACCGTTCAAGAAACTCATCACTGACTTGCAGCAAATTCTTCATATAAAGTTTGGCGTTACGGGGTTGTAAAAGAATTGGGTTGACAGCAGATCGCATATTTCCCCAGGCAGGACCATTTCTAAAATAATAAATAATGATTTATAAAGGCTCGGATATTACAAAAAAATTTTAAATTGTATATGTGTATTCAGTATAATATATAATATTTATGTTATGCCTACCCCGATGTCAAGCCATCAGAACCATCGAATATTTCCCGCCTGTGAACCCTCTTGAAATAGTCCATCACCTCGAAACTCCTTCTGTAGGGATACTGACCTTCATTCCTGAAGACAATTTCGTAGTCCTCGGGATTCATGGTGAGTACCATATCGGTTCCAGCCACACTGGGCATTCGAAAAATATTGCCATATTGACGATTCAAGTCGAGAAACATTTCGTGAACCGGTAAATTCTTATAGCGACCTGAAGAGAGTTTATGTTAAAAGAGATCAGCGGTTCTCCAAACATATGGTAAAAAGAGAGTCTGGAAAGCTTTTCTTTCACTTACCGCCGGGCAGAAAAGCTCGTATTAATTGCATTTTTGTTGGTCCCGGAATATCAGCATAGGGTTTAGCCTCCTCCAAACTGACGGTGGAGGTCTATAAATTATATTATTCACTAGTAGTTATACTAGTAAGTTGTATATTTTAGATCTCACTTTATTGGCCAGTCCTCTATAAAGATGGCAGATCTGCTTTGAGATCTGTTTGTTTGCGTTCCACTGCTTTGACAACATATTGCATACTGAAATATTCTGCCAACTTTCGATTAGAAAACTTTCTTGATTAATTCACTTTACGTGAGCTTTAAAAAGCTTTTAGTTTGCTCTTTGAGTAAATATTTTAATAATTTGTTTATGTTTTTTCTGCTTTTTGTTTTGCTTATAGTTTTCTTGTGCTCTTTGGTAGCTTTTTTCGTAAAAATGATAACAAAACTTTGAAATAAAGCTTTTGTGATGTCACAGATTGATGAGTTTTAAGGCAATACTATTCTGGAAGCTATTTTATTTTTTAATCAGAATTCAACTAAACCTAACTTTAACAAATTTTACAAGTTAATTAAATTTGATACAATTTTTATATTATTTTAGTAGATTAGAACATATCTTCTTCATATTACGCATACGCTCTGTTGGTTATTTTTTGGGGACTTTAAACGTCTGCCTAAACTAAGCAAAGCCAGCCAGGAATTTAAGCCTGCCACTAACACACACACACAGGGAGAACACCACCCAGACAAAGGCAATATCAGCAGTGACAGAAAATCTATATAGACGGCCCAGACTGACGGCTATAATAAAATCGATTTTTTATGTTTTTGGCAAGTGACAAGGACGCGTCGCAGAAAAGGGGACGCGTCTCGACCAGCGGCCCCATAAATATAACCTAACACACACACACACAATCACTCGGAAGCCCAGTCACACACACAGTGCCAGTGACACACACACACTCATACCAACACAAACAGAGACAGCTGATGATGGGCATACAAAAGTTGACCTCGACTTTGAGCTGTCAAAGCCAGCTAACTAAACTGACCTAAACCAACAAAAATCGACTTTTGCAGCCTAAACACAAAGCCTGAGGATGACAGGCCGGAAAAAAGGGGGCGTGGCAATGGGAGGGTGGTGGAGAGAGGGGGTGTTAAAATACAAAATATCAGCATGACGCAATGATTTCCGGGCGGGAGTGAAAATGAAACCTGTTGGAGCGGCGAGCTGTTGGCAATATAAACAAATTCAATTTGACAGCTGACAGCGACGGCGGTTCAAGCAGACACACACACACACACACATAGAAAAGGAGAGAGTACACATACACAGAAACACCAGGAAAAAGAGAAAGCAACAGAAACACACACACACTTTCGCAGAGAGTAACAAACAAAAGCCGCAAGTAATAAACTTTTACGATCTGTTTTACGGCCACGCGGCACGTGCAACTAGGCCCAGGATATTTGGTGTAAAACGGAGTGGAGGAGGGGCGACGGGGGGTTGCAACATAAATTTAATGAAGCCAAAAGCGAGGCGCAACAACAATGCAGACAGCCCACACACAACAATACTATACACCCACACACACACAAGGGGGAAAGAGATGGCGAGAGAGCAGCTCGCATGCTAAAGCGGAGTTTCAATGGAGGCTGGGCAATAAAAATAAAATAAAAGTAAATTGTTCAAGGCCAGACATATTTTATGTTATTATTTTACAAATAGCGGGGCAGAAAGCAACAGCGGGGTTGGCAATAGAAAGTTGAGGAAGCAAAGGAGTCAACAGGAAAGGGCGTGGAGAAAGCGAGTTTCCAAAACGATTGCATTTTTGGGTGCACAAGGGAAAAACACTTTTTGGAACCAAAACATATGCGGAATTTTATTGGAATTTTTAAAAGAAATAGCTTAGCGAGTATCGACAAAAAAACAAGTTTTGAGTAATTGGTGAGACTATTTCATCATATGTTTTTATTATAATCAATTTTAAAACAATAAGACTTCCATTTATGTTTATAATAAAACAATGTTATGCTTGCAACTATACAAGAATAGCTCTCCATTAACTTTAGACCTCATAATGCTTTAGATAAAACGAAAAGATGAAAGCAGAATTTCCGATCGTCTTTTTCCCCTCAGTGCAGAGGTTTTGATTTTGTTTTGCAGCGAAAATTGAACAAATTTCGCCGCATGACTTCGCCGAAAATAAAAAGGGATGCCAGCCAGATCCAGGACCTCCCCGCTCCCCATCCTCTATTCTAGTGTTGTTGTGTCTGCGACACAAAAACGTCAGAAGCACTCACCGAGAGCATTCGGCGCTGTCCTTGCCGCAAATGCCATTGATGGATGATGCGCCTGCCCACTCGCCCAACCACCCAACCACTCGGCCACCCACTTATCCAGACACCCACTTGGCCGCCCGATTTCGGATTTCACCCCCGGTTGGAGGGCAAAAATAAAACACTAAAACCTGCAATTTGTATGGAATACATCAGCGGCAGCAGCCAACGAAAGTGGACGCAGACGTTGGCCAGAAAGAGGCGGCATTATGTGAGCTCGGGGCTCTGAGTCCAGAATCCAGAGTTCTGCGTCCTGAGTCCTGAGTTCCGGGCTTTGAGCTTCCCGAGTTCTGAGTTATAGAAGGCCATAACCTGCACTCGGCGGTGCTTTCTCTTTCTAGCCGCTATTTCGCTCTCTTTTCGGCTCGCTTTATGATTGCCAGACATAAATAAGCGGCAAAAGCACCCCGGTGTGTGTGTATTAGCGTGTGTGTATGTGTGTGGGTGTCCCGTGTCCAAAGTGCACTTCCGGTGTCCTTTTTGGCGAGTGTTTCGAGCTCACCTGCCTGGGAAAAAGTCTCGGGAGCGAGTCCTCTTTGGAGCCTTGCACTCCTTTTTTTCTGCCCCGCTGTCATCGCCGCCGACAGCTGGATAAATGTGTATCTATGCGAGGTCCTGTCCCTCGTCCTTTTTTTCCATGCTCCTGGATGTACTCGGCTCATCTCGCTTCTTTTCTCCTGTCTGCGCATCTTCTCTTCGGCGAAATGGTGTGCGTGTGCTGAGCCAAAGTAGCAATTCATCATAGAAAATGGCGGAAGTGAGCTTCCCTTTGTGGGGTTGTCCTGAATGCGTGTGTGTGGGTGTGGGTGTGTGTGTGTGTGAATGTGAGTGGGTGACACGCACTCTCCAACTTGGGGCTCCAATTAAAAGCGGTGAGTGCCACTCGATAATGGGTCTTAAAGGGAAACTAAAATCAAACAAACATTCAATGTTCTACCAAACGGAACAAAATAAAATATAGTATTTTTTTAACAGAGAATAAATTAAGTTATGTAAAAAATAAACGAAAAGTACGAAACTCAAACTAAAACGTTTCTTATTTCTCTGCAACAGGCACAGATAGTTTGCTCAAAACCATATCAAATTAAGAACTTCCTTCTGGTTTAAATGGCCATTTTCCCGCACATATATCTGTCAATTACTATTAATTCGAATCCAACATCTTAGCACATTCGGGAGGCAACTCACCCAGGCAGACGAACAGAACTAGGGCAATCAAATGTCACTTTGCACACTCTCAAGTGTTATGGTCCCATCTCAAAATGCCACATGCCCCGGCCATTTGCAGCTACAGGAAAAACGCATCTTCCATCCACTTAACGGCCCAACAACAACATCAACAACTAGAACAACAACATGGACTTTGTGCCACATAACCTGGTTTTACAGCCTCGAGGATACGAGGACCCAAAAGGAGAGCCAGCGAGCCAAAGGCCAAACTCATCAAGTTTGGCTTAAGAGGCGGGCATTTAGTTAATTTTAAATGCTGATTAGCGCACTTTACAGCGGGTGAAAGGATAAAGGAGATAGCAGAGGGGATGCCTCGAAGTGAAGTGCTCGGGAGACCCAAAAGGATGCCAGCATATGTGGGTGTAAGTTATAATTTTATTATCATTACCAGCGGCGAGTGTCTTATCAGCAGAGTTTTACGAGGCCACAGATCGCATAGGGGTCATGTTCCACTCTGATCCCTTTGTAAATGAAAATAAACTGTGGCTTAAAATGTTTACGATGCGTTGACGACGTCGTCATCGTCATCATTATCATCATTGTCATCGCCGGCGAGGGTTCCATGTTTATGTCCTTTTTATGCGCTTTTTATGCGCCATTTCTAACCTCGATTTAATTGTTTAGCCGGTGACAATCATTACCCCCAACATATGTACAAAACAGCAGCGGCGGCGAGCAGACAGTGGCTGGGTTTTACGACTCCAAGGAGCTGTCAATTTGATGTCCTCAGCGCCATTGACAACCCATCGTCCTAATAAAAACATGAAGATTACGCTTTACGGCCACGGCGAACTCAACGGAAGTTGTAAAACACTCAAGTGTAATGATGCCAGAGCTTTGCATCCGCCCAGCCGACACTCTTTCGGGTGTGAAAACTAACGCCAGGACTTTCCCCTCCCGTTCCCATTGTTGAGTCCTGTGAAGGACTCGTTTTACGACTCTCGGATTTTACGATGATAACATCTTCGATGCATCGCGCAGTCTCGCTTATTATTTTTCTATTACATTACAATTTACAGCGTTTGATGAGTGATTTTACGATCATTAAACGGAATCAGATTTGTCATTTGGCCTGTTAAATAAAGCGCAAAATTTACACGTTGTCAGCCGGTGTTGTCGTAAAAAAAAAGAAACCAGAGGCAAAACCGAAACCAAGAGCATTGAGCTATTTGTGCTGCTGCTGTTGCCTTTTTATAGCCACAATGTTGGTATCCTTGATCCCTTTTGTGGCTGCCGTGGAAGGTGTAAAAATGTTCCGCCATTACTATCATTGTTTTTACTGCCCATCTTACGACTTGGCTGTCTGGAGGACCTCGAATCCTGCGAGTCTCTGTTTTGGCTGTTTATTCAAGCGCGAAAATGGATTTGTTTTTTACGACTTGATTATTATGACTCCGACTGCGTTTGATTACAAATATTATACCAGCAAAATGGTTTCCCCTCGCCGTTCTTTTTTTGCCATTTTTTCAATCCTGTTCAGTGAGCTCGTAAATGGTTTTGGTTTTTTGATTTTGTCGAGCAATTTGTTGCTTATGTTTATTAATGAGCAATCATTCGGTGCAGGCTAAATAATCCAACACCAGATGGAAGTTCCTCAGTTTATTCCTATCCATGGAAACCACAAATAGTTGACTTCAGTTTTAAGTGTCCCTGAATATTTTCTTGATTAAATTCCGC